AGCAGCTGAAGCTGCTCTAGCGAGGGCCAAGCCATGTGTTGGAGGGGTCCTGCAGCAAGGTGTCCATCAGCCCTGACGTTACTGCCCACAGGAATCTAATGCAGGTATCCCATTTTCCAAGAATGAGGTGAGTACCCCATGACTGGCAGGGTTTACAATGAAGGCAACATCATCTTTCTCTCTATGGACTGAGGGGAATTTGAGCTACAGGATCTGATCGCCAGTCTCTTCCAGGTCTGATACGCCACAGTTCTACCACAGTAATTGTCCTGTTTTCTTATGTGATGAAATGGGGATGGGAGGAGGAAATGTGTTAATGAGTTAAAAAAAAAAAAAAAAAGTGAATCCAAATAGTATTTCACATCCATTCCCACCAACATAAAACGTTGGCACTATGAAGCTAACAGATACACCAGGTGGAATAATTGGTAAACACTAATAATAACTAATAATAATAGTAGCTAACATTTACCAAGCACTTACTATGAATCAGCTTCTTATACGTATTAGCTCATTTAATCTCAACAATAGCCCTGTGAGGCAGGAACTGTTACTAGCAGCAGTGGACAGGAGAGGAAAAGGGAGGGGAAGGCTTCCAGAATCGGCTCAAGGCCACGAAGCAGAGCTGGGATTGAAACCCAGGTCTGTGAATCCAAAGCCCGTGATCTTAGCTTTTATGGGTACCCCCTGCCTACTGAGCAAGATGTGAGACACCCCTCTCTACCCATAGGGACTGCCTCATCAGGAAGACTCTGGCTCAAATGGACTGTGTGTCCTACCCACTCTCACGTGCCCCCTAATATAACCACCAGGGACACCACGACAGCTGTCTTCTGGGGACTTCTGTTCTTCCTGGGTTGTTCGTGGTCTTAACCACAGAGCCCAATGATCAATTTCTATGGGGTATTCTACCAGAAACAGGTAACAGGAAACAGGAGACTCCTCCACTCTAATACATTCTGACACACCAGGGAGGCATTCCTCCGTGCTGGTCATCGGCTCCAGTGGGGACCCCCCAGACACCTCTCCCACCAAGCACCGCCATGGTCCTCAGCATCAACCTCAGGATTTTGGCTCTGGCCCAGGGCCTTCAGACACACCAACGCTGGTTGCCAGTTGGATAGGTCTTACTCTATTATCAGATACTAGGCTTTTAGGAACAGACTTTCTAGATGTTTCTATTTTTGCATTAATGACTCAGGCCAACAATCAGTAGTTGATGATTAGCATAAATTCTGAATATTTTTCCATAAGGCAAAGTGATTGTATTCTGCTATGAGCAAATGGAATGGTAAATTTTCTGGAGGTTTAACATTCTATAGGTTGACATCTTGCCATTAAATCCCCCAAAATAATGTTTTTCTTAAATTCGTGCTAACTTAATAGAAGAGAGCTCTCATGGTATTATGTTTGTCAAAACTGTTCAATTTTATAATCTAAGGACATAAGATGAATCAGAAGTATGCAATATAGGAAGTTGCATTACAGAAGGAACCCAACTAACACATAGATTCGTCCAGCACCTCAAAGGAGGAAGGGGCTGGGGAGCTCCCATGTAAGAGTCTGCTACCCACGTGCCAGGTGTCATAAGGCATGGTCCCAGGTAATGCACTCAGCAGCTTTATACCAGGTAAAGGGGAATCTAATTTTTTTCCACTTTTACAGATCAGGAAACTAAGGTTCAATAAACCCAAGGCTCCCAAGGTCACACAGCTAGTTAGAAAGGCCACCAGGAACCAATGCCAGGTCTGTCTTGACTCCTGAACCAGTGCTCTTTCTACTACACCACATCACCACCAACGCAAGAACCAAGATCTGCCTCTTCGGAAGCTCTGATGAGGCCAGCGGGGCATCTACTCTTGGGAAAACCCCCCACAGAAATCTATATTTCATAGAGAAATGAGCCAAGAGCCGGAAGTGAGACCTCTGCAAAATGTTGCCTACAGGCACGGGAATCTAAAATGAAAAAAAACTTTTTTACCTTAATAATTAAACATTAGAGACCTTTAAACACACTCCTTCCTTCTTCCACCTTAGCCACATTGGTAGACGTGTTCTGGCCACTCAACAACCTCTTACTCATTCCAGGCACAAGAACCAACTCCAGCTCTCGCTTCTGTCCTACCCTCCCCAACTCCCTGTTCCCCAGGGTTCCAGCAGAACCTACCCCCCCCCCAAGACCACAAGAACTTGATCCTCATGAAAGTTGAGCAAGGATGCTCCAAACTGCTCTGAACACATGGGCTGCGTCCTATAAGCCAGATCTCAGCTGCAAAATCCTGAGGAAAAGAGTGACATTTCCCCACTGTCACCTTTCTATCACCAGGTCAGAGTCTAAAGAGGACAAGTAAATGAGTGGGGACTTGTATGGTCCCACTGTGCCTATCACTGAACAGCAGAGCCGCACATCACGCTCAGTGAGACCTACCCAGCTTGTAAATCAGCCCAGGGACTAGCTGGGTTTTTAATGCCTTTTAAGTGAAGCCACAGCATCTATTTTGGAAGTGTGACATAGGCTTAAAAACCTTGCCCCAGTGAGGAGATTGTTTGACTCAGCATGCGGTGCATCCTGTGGCTGGAAAGAAAACAGTGTCCAGGATGCTGGAGGAGAAAGCATGACATTATGACGCAGGCGGGTGCTGTCTGGCGCTCAGCCACATCTTAAACAGAGATTGCCGTGACACTTGGAGTCCCAGAACACAAGGCCTGTCACTGGTGATTTATATAAGATGAGGACAAGTTAATGACTGGGATACTTATTCATTCCCAGAGAAGAAACATCTAGTTGAGTATTGGTATAGATTCTCAGAAAGATGTGGCCTTCACAAAGGTCTCTGGGCTTGGAATCTGGCTCCTTGGGGTTACATGGAGCAAAACCCAGTATTTCCTTGCATGACTTCTGCTCTTGTCCATTCCACTGAAAAGCCCTGATGGTATTATATAAGCCTTTTAAAAAAATAGTAGGAAAACCAGAAAAGACCGATCTCTTTTTCCTCTTGGCTCTTCTTCCCTCCTCCCTTTTTAGGCACAGAGTACCAAGACATTGAGACTGAGAAAACCTGCCCCGAGTCACATTCACCTTCAGAAGACTCCTTTGTGAGAAGCTGAGGGCCTGGCCCTCATCCTCCTCCTCCAGAGATCAGCCCGCCACTATCCACAGACCTCGCAGGCCTGACTTAGCGTGCTCTGCCCTGCCCAAGAACCCAAGGGTCCCTGTGTGGATTATCCGGCCAGTGTGTGGTCCTTTGAGGCCCCAAGCACAGGCCTGTGATGAGGACTGAGGAGGTGTTTGTGGTCAGGAGTCCTCCAAACCCTTGCAGTAGGCAATTTTCCTGGGTTGCTAAAGAGTAACGTTGACCAGGTGTGCAAATTCCCTTTGGCCTATCCCTCCCTTGGCTCCTGTGGGGATGTCTTGCTGACACGCTTTAGAAAACCCCTCTCCAGAATGCTTCTCTGACGGAGGGCTCCAGCAGCTCTTCCAAAAGCAGCCGAGGCTGGATTACAATGGAGTGGGGGTGTGGGGGTGGTAAAAATGACCCTGTTTCACAGAAGGGATGGGGAAAAAAGCACATACTCAATAGATTTTGAGTGTGGTATTCTGTATTTTTGCAGCTTATATTTTCCAGATGAGCAGTTTAGAAATATGTGATGTAAAGTACATACTGTACATTTGCTGAAAATTATATTAAAAGCACTATTTTAATTCTTTCTCTGTCTCATGCTGTAATCTCTATTACCTTTTTCTCTTGTGTTTTTGGGTAGAATGATCTTAAAAGATTCTTTGGGGGAATGTTTCTGGCTGTAGATGTTCCATATTTGTGGGCTTTGACTCATTCGAAAGAGCATGGGCTTTGGAGCCAAAATAGTTCCTGGCTTCAAATCCTCACCCCAGCCCTTGATACTGATGTGGCATTGAGCAAGTGAGCAGACTGCACTGAGCCTCAATTTTATCATTTTTAAACCGGAATATTGACATCTGCTTTATACAGTTGTGATAAGACGTAAATGAGGTCACGTGTGGAGGCACCAAGCTCTAGCACAGAATGGTCGCTTGGTAAATGGGAATTATTCATTGCCATCCCAACTCTGGCTGGAATGAGGTGCTCCACAGCCCTGATGCAGCTCCTCTTGCTACATTTTCTGGTCCTGCACTGTCATTGTCTGGTTTTCCTTTCTGACTCTCCTACTGGGAGAGCAGGCAATGGCTTCCTTTCAGGGTCGACCCACTAGTATTTGGTAGATGCTCAGTATACGAGTGAGTGAATGAATAACAAACGGTCTCAGATGCATCAGCCTGGGGGACTTTGACTTCTGTCCCACTCTGCAGAGGCAACCGCAGTATTTGTCTTCCCTCTTCTAGGTCCACAGACACCTCCCTCCCACCAGCCTCACCCCATAGATGAGGCTCCAGTTGTCTTCCTAGTCCTTGCCAGGCCTCTTTGTGATTGGCTACTTTCTCCTCCACCATCTTGAGTCCGGTGGCTGGACTCCTACCATATATGGACAGTTTGGTCAGGTTGATGCCAGCCACTGACATGCATCATACATTCATTACATTGCTGGCCAGACTGGAGCTCCAGAAACTGGTGCTTGCACTCTGTCTTCTGGGCAAGAGATCTACGATGGCCCCACTCCTCTTATGGGGCTAGCCCTGGTAACTGACCTACTTTCTTCATATCCCCTTCCAGCCTGGATCTTGCCCTAGACAGCTTCATCCTTTGTAGGTGAGCTCACCTGAAATCAAAGCTTGTCAAGTTAATATTACTGGGAGACTTCACTCACCTCAGCCCTATGTGGTCTTTACTCTAGGGAGTCAGTGGACTCACGAAAGAATATGCTTGGGCGAGTTACCTTCTCTGACGCCTGATTACCCAGCACACTGGTGCCTCGAAGACTCTTTTTTAGCCTAGTCTTGCTATTTATGCGATTGTTTATTGTTTGCAAGGCAATATTGTTTGCAAGGCAATTTATTCTCTCTGGCACAAAGATCCCAAGAAAATGCAGTTTTAACATTCTCCTTCCTGACGCAGAAAGATGCTGAAGCAGCTGGAAAATTGGTTAGTGGTTCCTCCCGGGAGCAGGGCTTCATTTGCTCTGGAAATTCAGTGGGAGGCAGAAGGAAGCAAGGAAGGGCTATTGCTTATGGCATTCATGCTCTCAGTCCAAAATTTCACATTTGTGTTGCATCTATAGCCCAACTTCTTTTCTCCTGCTACCTTTCCTCCCATAAAGGTGATCAATTTATGGAAAGCTTACTCTCCATCCATTTTAACTTCACAAAGACCTATTATTACTGTTTTGGAATGAAGAGATTCATCCTTCCATATATAAGCAGGTCCATAAGAGATCTGGTCACACAGATTGTTCAGCCAACTCAGGGGGAATTGACAGGTTAAACTCACATCCAGCTCTCAGCAATGTCCTCTCAGCCACCATGGCCAGCAGGGCTTTGAACTCCATATACATGTGGTCCATCTTGATCCATATCTGAAAATCCAACTTGACCCTCTTCTGTCTTTGTGAAAGGGCTAGTCATGCGCCCAAGCATTTGGCTCAACCAAAATTAAAACAGGCTGTTTCTGTGCCCTCAAATATGGATTCGAAACTACCAGTATACCCACTTTACAAAGAACCTGTCTTTTTTTTTATATTTTTAGGCTTTGCTACTTCACGAACTACTGCTACAGAACTATTTCTGTAACTCTGCAGAGAAATGTCTATAGTTAACGCATAGGGCAGAAACTAACTTTTGCTTTCCAGAATGCACTTTTAAAAGTATCATAAGCTTCCTGAGTTCCAGTGTTCCCAAATATGAAATGCACAAATATGCATTTATTGGATCCCCCAAAGGAGGGCTTTTCAGAATGTCAAGAGTGTTGCATTGGGCAATCCCACTTCTCTGCTGTTCCTCATGAAGGAATTAAGGGGTGAAATAAAAAAAGCAATTAACTCAGAGCACAAAGGCAGAGTGACAAATGCATGAATTCGTTTGACCAGCAATATAGGAAATAGCCTCAGGGACTCAAACCTGCAGGACAGAAGCCACTGGCCTTCTTTGGAAAGGACACATTGTCTATGATGTTCTTCTCCATCACTTGTCACTGAGAACTTTGCCACAATCCACAGGAGCAATTGAAATGCCTTCCCAACACAATGGAAGTGGGAAAGCTTTATGCCCAGCATAGCAGTGGGCTCCTTTCTTCATCCAGATTCTTAACTCACCCTCATGCCTAGCCTTCCATTCCTTTGGGGTATTCTGTATTGAGGCATCTATATTTTCATAGTAAAATCAGTGCTTGATATACAGTTAAAAAAGGAAAAAAAAAAGTGCCCAAAGAAAATGGTAGTTATTTCAGTTGTTGCTAAAATAATCATGGCCTAGGTCTTCAAGTTGTATGCAAATGATTAGACATTACAACACAATGCAAGAAAAGGAGACATATATGTCTTGAACAGGACGTTGGAGATCAGACTTTATTTAAATGTCAACTGTCCCTGTATGGCCCTTGAATCATATAGCACTGTCAATCATTTCTTCAGATGGTATTGGCAGGTCAATCCCCCCAAAACTGGAGGTAGCTATTGGGGAGGAGAGCTACAGAACTCAGACCCATGCTGGGGGGAGGAGAGGACCAAAAATACTTGCAGGCCCTCACTCTTACTAGGTTCCACCCTCTCTTGCATGGCATTCGAGGCTCCCTGGGAATCTGAGCACTGGGGAAGAGGGTTAGTGGTTCCCCCACACATTCTGTATTTCAAACTGAGGTATGTGAGGTTAAAGCAAGGCCATGATTTTTAATTAGTATGGACAAGGCTGTGAGGTCTCCTGTGCACAGTAGGCCCTCCATAGCTGGGAGCAGTAGGAAGACAGGATGGAAAGAGCAGGTACCAAGTTTGCCTCTCAGCTCGGCTGCTTACTAGCCTTGCCAGGTTACCAAGTCCAGTCACTGCTCTGAACCTGTCTTTATGTGGCTCGAAGATGGGAAAGTTTCAGCCTGCTTGGCAGAGACGTCAGGAGAATTCCATGTATGTGCAAATCCAGAGTCAGTCCCAGTGAGACTCAAGAAGTAATGAGTTTCATTGAGAGTTCTCATCCTTGACCATCTAAATACAAACCAGCAACTATTTACCAATAGTTGCTACCATTTTGCTTTTTGGGAACTCTCTGTCCTATTGGATAGCTGCTCCCTTAATGACCTTTCGGTCAATTCCTTAATTGTTTCGTCATTTTAGTTATCAAAACAGCTTCATTTCTAGATCTGTCCCCTCAGGCAAGGGAAACAAAAGCAAACTATTGGGACTATACCAAATTAAAAAGCTTCTGCACAGCAAAGGAGACCATCAACAAAATAAAAAGGTAACCCACTGAATGGGAGAAGATATTTGCAAATGATAGTCCAATAAGAGCTTAATATCCAAAATTATGAATAACTTGTATAATTTCACACCAACTCCCCCCCACCAAATAATCCAATTAAAAATGGGCAGAGGACCTAAATAGACATTTTCTCAAGAAGACATACAGATGGCCAACAGACATGAAAAAATGCTCAGCATCATTAAGGGAAACGCAAATTAAAACCACAATATCACTTAACACATATCAGAATGGCTAGTATTAAAAAGGCAAGAAATAGCAAGTGTTGGCATCAAGGGAGGACGTAGGAAAAAAAAGGAACTCTCATGCATTGTTGGTGGGAACGTAAATTGCTGCAGCTGCTATGGAAAACAGTATGGGGGGTTCATCAAAAAATTGAAAATAGAATTCCCATACAATCTAGTAATTCCACTAGTGGGTACTTACCCCCCAAAACAAAAACATAAATTCAAAAAGATAGATGCACCCCATGTGTATTGCAACATTATTTATGATAGCCAACATATGAAAGTAACCTAAGTGTCCATCAGTAGATGAATGGATAAAGATATGGGGTGTGTGTGTGTGTGTGTGTGTGTGTGTGTGTGTGTGTGTGTGTGAGATGGAATATTACTCAGCCATAAAAAAGAAAGATCTTGCCACTTGCAACAACATGGTTGAAACTAGAGGGTATTATTCTAAGTGAAATTAGTCAGAGAAGGACAAATACCATATGATTTCACTTATATGAAGAATCAAAAAAAATAAAAACAAATCAACTAACACAAAGCAGAAACAGACTCATAAATACAGACAGCTGAAGGTTGCCAGATGGGATGATGTTGGGGGTGGGCAAAAGGGATGAAAGGCAGTGAGAAGGCCAAGCTTCCAGTTGTGGAAACAATAGGTCCCTGAGACTAAAGGTACAGAGTAGGGAATATAATCAATCATAGTGTAATAGTGTTATATGGTGACAGATGGTAGCTACACTTGCAGTGAGCATAACACAGAGTTGTGGAATCACTGTGTTGTATACCTGAAATTAATGTAACGCTGTCACTTATACTTCAATGTTTTAAAAAAAGCAACTTTGCTACACTTATTAAGACCTAATCCTGTCCATATGGGAACTCTAAGCACGTATTCTGTTCAAGCCCTCCCCAACAAGGACAGGCCTATGGACTTGTAGCTCTGGGGGCATGGAGGGAAGGGGAGCTCCACCTTCCTCTTCCCTGCCCAAACTCACCTCCAGAGCAAGGTGTGGAAGTAAAGAGAGAAGCCCAGTTTGCTTCCTGGATTGCCCACGACTAAGCTTGCTGCCACCCCTGCTGACTGAGCCCCTTCTATGAAGAGCTGGTGTGGAAGCAGCCTGCCCCAGTAAGCCAAGCTAAAGAAGGACTCCATTCCAAGAAGCTCCCCTGAGCTCTGTGGCTTCCTTTGGAGAAGTAGGTCTAACTTCAGGCAGACTTTCAGTCACCAGCCATTTGCTTCATTCCCTTGCAGAAAGCACCTGTTTGCCCTACACTGGGTTGGTCCCTGGGGAACCCAGTTGCCTCCAACCTCACCTTCCCTCCTAGTCTGGGCTCTGGGCCTGAAGTAAGAACCAGGCCATTATACCCACCTCTTTGCTTCTTAGGGCTGTCCTTGCCTCCCTCCTCCCCAGCCTGCTCTGATGGTGACAGGACAAGTCAGCAAGCCCATGCACCCAGTGTACAAGATGTCAGCCCCCCTCCTTAATACACGCCCAGACTTTGGGGTCCCCTTCCCTCAGTTTTGAGGCAGAAAGCCAGTCAATGCTTTTCTTCACCAACATCACTTCTCCCCCCAAATTGTAACCTCTCACTCCCTCTTCAGCCCTTCGTGTGTGACAACAGGGGCACAGATGAGATATTGGGGAGGAGTTAACAGGGACCATTTTTCTCAAGAGAGAAAACCTTCAAACATTTCCCCTGGCATGCCAACCTACCACCTTGTACTACTATTATCAAAAGAGGAAGGCCAGCCAATAGGTGCCTTTGATGATAAATGACACTCCCTCAAGAGGAGCCTCCAAATCTTCATAATGAACATCTGTCTTGCTCTGAGCTCTCAGCACTTTCTAGCCTTCGGGTAGTTAATTATTTGTAGATTTCACACTTAATGAAAGAGTATTGATCCAGGGCCTGGTGTGGAGCCCTGTGCCCTATGAAGCCCTGTGGAGAGATCCAAGGAAGCCTTGTACTCAATAAATTCACAATTTAGATCAAGGAAAAACAAGCCTCCATATCATAGGATGTCTTCTATGACACACTATACATCGAGGCATTATTATTGAGAAAGAGATGCCAGAGTGATGGGAATTCAGAGAGGAGAGAATCCCTAAGGACCAGAGTAGCCAGATGAAGCATTCTCAAGGAGGTGGGGCATACAGAGACCTCAAAGGAAAACATTCTCATGTAGGATCCAGGTATGATGCTTCACTCTATCCACTGGAATGGCTTCCTGGAAGGAAGCAGGAAGTGGGTGCAGAGGTAAAATCTCTATGAACAGACATGCGGATAACCGTAACAACACAGCAGCACCAGGCTAAATTCTTTACAAAGGCTGTCTCTTTATTTAAGCCTTGCAAACACCTGTGAAATAGGAATCATTTCATTTCTGGCCTGTTGGCCTCAGTTTGAATCTGGGTTTCTGTACTTGCCATCTATGCAGTTATAATTTTCTCATTAATTAGGTGAAGGTAATCATGCCCATTTTGTAGGAATATCATGAGGATTCAGTGGAATAATGTATATAAGGCACTTAGCACAGTGCCTGGTACCCAGAAAATGTCTAAGGAAATATGTTCCCTCATATTGCCAGGTATCCAACAGAAGATGAACTTTCTAACAGAGCTAACTTGCATGAGTAAATAATTATAACAGCAATTATCTCCCTGAGGACAATTATTTGCCATCACCATTTGTACCCACTGAAATTACATGCATAAGAAGCAGAGTCACCCATTGGCAGATAAACGTAATTAAATTGGAAGAATGACATCAATGGCTGATTGGATTAATAAAAGAAATTTATTCCCTGGAGGTATTTCAGAAATGCTTCTCCAAGCTGGATCATATTTTTTAAAGGCTTGTACCCTGAATTCAAATTATATATTAATTCCTTTCCCCAAATCAGCATGCATTCAACCCTTATAAACACCACATACTTCTGAAAAGCTAGGACTATGATGGTTTTATAAACCACACATACAAACACCAATCCTCTCAATCTTTGTGTAAGAATAGATCTATAAAAGATGTAGCATTTTGTTGATGAAGTCAATTAAGCAAACATTTCAACTGGATGATATGCACCCTGGGTTGAGAATTTTATTTTAAATAATGGGCAA